TTCCAGTGCTTCACTGTGCTGGGTTTTTATGACAGGGAACCATTTCCCTTCTACATGTGTTTCTTCAACCCCTCTCACAGACATCAGCCTAGAAAAACACATTTGGCTTCACTTTATGTCTTGAAAATTAATTAAAACCAGAGTTTTACCATCCTTACCAGTTGATTTCTGGCTTATACATTACAGCTGACTTCAGTAGATAGATCTGGATTTACAACACTGCAGCCAAAGGAAGATATTAGCTCACTGTCCAAGGCTCCCAGAATAAAAGTTTCTGAAGATGCTGACCTGCTTAGCTCCTTAGCATGAGTTGGACTATAAATATGTGAGAATGGCCTGCACAGGAGTATTTCAATTCTGACCGAGCAATTTTTCCCCAAAATGAAAAGCCAGCATTGAGCAATGCCTGTGTTGTGATTCTTTTTTACCTTAAGTCCATTCATTGATTATATTGGTACAGTTATCTGCCTATTAGTCACAGAATCATGGAATGGTTTGGGTGGGAAGGAGCCTTAAAGACTGCTCAGCTCCTCTGCCATGGGCCAGGACACATTCCACTACCCCAGGTTGCTTCAAGCTCCATCCAACCTGACCTTGGACACCTCCAGGACAGCCACAGCTTCTCTCGGCACCCTGTGCCAGGGCCTCAGTGCCCTCACTGCAGAGAATTTCTCCCCAGTATCCCATCTAACCCCACCCTCTGTCAGTGTGGAGCCATTCCCCTTGTCTGTCACTCCAGGCCCTTGCAAACTGTCCCTCTCCAGCTCTCTTGTAGCTCCTTCAGGTACTGCATGGCTGCAATTGGGATGTTCCAAAGCCTTCTCTTTCCCAGGCTGAAAAATCCCAATTCTCTCAGCCTTTCCTCATAACAAAGCTTCTCCATTCCTCTATTTATCCTGGTGGCCTCCTCTAGATTCATCCCAACAGATCAATATCCTCCCTGTGCTGGAGACCACAGAGCTAGGTTAATTACTGGGATAATTCAATGCTGAGTTATCTTCAGTAACAAACTGCATTACTTCTAAGCAGGCAGAGCATAGTGCCTTTTCTCCCTGCCTTCTCAGAAGGTTCCCACTGCTGCAAGAGATGGGCAGGACAATGCCTGTGGTCTTCCAGGCAACACACAAGTGATTTACAAAATTCAGAAGGCAAACATTACACACCGGAGAGGCAAAATGGGTAACACACTGCTCAACTAAAAATAAATCCTAGTATTCTAAGAGAAATGTATAAAATAGGGGACAACCCTGTTTCATATCATACTTTTCTTCTGCAAAGCCTCTTCCCTGCTCTGCTTTCTATTAATGAAGACATGCACATGAAGTAATTCCCCTCATTAATCAACTTCATTCTTTTGGTTTCTTCCCACTTGAAGTGACAACCCTGCATTTGGGATGTCACGTAGTGGTGTAGCTGAGACTGATTTTAGGGATCAGCAGTAGAGGCAGATGAAATTCTCAAGAAACAGAGACTTTGTCTTCAAAAGGCCTCTCCAGTAAGTGGAGAAGAGAAGGGAATGGGTTCTGGTGAACCGCAAAGGCAGCATCTCACTGGGAAAGAGGAGAAATATCATGTATGAGAACTGAGTAGTTTGAAGGCAAATATAGAACCATATCTGCATGAGGCAGGGGAAGAGATGGGGGCAAGACTGCTAAGAGCACTGCACAGCCATTGCTTAGAACCACAGAATCATTCAGGCTGGAAATGACCTCTAAGATCATCAAGTCCAACCATTAACCCAGCACTGCCAAGCACACCACTAAATCAAGAGCCACATCTTTTAAATCCCTCCAGGGACAGAAACTCCACCACTTTCCTGGGCATCTGGATCCATGCTTCACAACCCTTTTGGTGAAGAAATGTTTCCTAATATCCAATTAAACAGCTGTGTAATGCAGAGATCCTCCTGCTCTCAAAGGTCACCCTCAGCCTATCACAGTTCAGCTCTCCCATCTGCTCCTCATTTTCTGCTTTTCCTCCTGCCCAGATGCAGCTGCCTGCCCTGCTCACGAAAGCAGCAGAACCCCACTGCCCCAGCCCTCTGCCCCTCCCAGCTGCCCAGGACAGATGACCCAAGATGCTGACAGCACTCCAAGCTGGGGGATCCACTCTGCAGCAGGGATGCTCCTGGCCCGGGGAAGCACAGCCTGGGACACATCCCAGGGGATCCCAGCCCCAGGGCCTGCTCTGCCCAACAAGAAACACATTTCCATCGTGGTGGTGGCTGCACATCTGCTTTTCCTCTGCTGCCCCCGTGCAAACCTGAGCTCCAGGCAGCTCTGTGGCAGCATGGCTCTTCCCTTACTGTGGGCATCAGAAAGGCTTTTTCCCTTAACCTGCCCCCAGTATCAAAAGTTAAACTATTCTCTACAAAGTCTTTGTCCTTCTGGCAAATCTGGCTGAAACTGGCCAAGTTCAAATTTTACTGAGGCAAGAGAAGACAGACCCTTACAGCCCTTATACTGAAATTTAGGCTGAGGTATGTGCTATGATGCATGATCAGTGGGATGTCAAAACCAAATCAAACAAGAGCAGAAGAGCAGCAAATCCCAACATCATTCATAGCTGTTATGACAATGTTAGTAGGATATGCCATAGGGTTAAAAATGGAAGCTAAAATCCTCTATGGGATTTCAAAAATAACAATAAACCTACAGAACTTCATAAAGAAAAAAAACTGTTTCTGCTGTAAAGTTTTATTGTAAGGCCCAAACTGCTTCTCTTAGGATGTTAAGTATAAAAATATTGAAATCATCTTATATAAGCTGTTTTCTCTCTCAGTCCCATTTACAGAGCTCTGGATCACTTCATCCCTTTAAAGCTTCCTTTGCTTGCAGCTCAATTATAAACTAGCAGTTCAAAGCACTGCTGGCTAAGGGATGCATGTGCCACCACACACCACTTAATATCCACCTTCTAACTCTGCATTTTCATCACATCCATAGCCTGAAACAGCTCAGAGTTTATTTGATCACCCTGAAGAGAACTAAATAAGTAAATTCATTTGAATATGCAACTGGATTTAATAAAACCTGCCCATATGCTTCTGTTGAATAATACTCCCCAGCCTGCTTTAGGTTTTGTTTCCTCCTTCTTCAGGGACATATCTTTCTTTGGAAATACAATCATCCTCACCTCCTTATTAGATACAGTTAATTAGTGCAGCCACAGCCATGTGGATGTAATAATTCAGTGTTTGCTGGTTTCAAAGTCAGGGTAAGACCAGCCTGGACCAGGACTGTAGGTCCTGGGGGTAAGAGAGGGGAGGAAAAGCCTCGTGGTGATGCTAATGCCATTTTCTCAGGGCAGATGTGGCAGCAGAGTTGAGGTCATTCCCAGTCCCTGATACCATCCAGAAGTGCTGGAGAATCACCAAAGTCCCTCTCCAGGAGCTGGGACAGGCAAGGTGCCAGGCTGCCCAGGGGCAGTGGTGATGCTCTCTCCTAGGGAACAGTCCCTGATTCCTCCCAGAGCTTCTGGTTGTCAGAGCTCTGCGACTAAACCACATGACTGAGACAGGAGAAGGGACAAACCTGCCAAGGGCACTGCTAATCCAGCAGGGTTTGCCACACCCCACAAGGGCAAAAAGCCACCCTAAAAATGACAGTCAGCATCCCATTAGAGTGAAATTTCACATCTTAACTTCTAATAAATTAAACTCTCAATTTCCAACAGACCTCTGAGGAATCTGTACAACCTCCTGGCTGCAGCATCTCCGGGGCTGCTGCGGGCAGGTGCCAGCTGAGGGAGACAAAACCCTTCCCTGGGAGCCCTGCTGGCCACAGCCTCCCAACAAACCCCATCTATCCTCGGGATCTACCCTCGGGATCTACCCTCGGGATCTATCCATCCTTGGGATCTACCCTCGGGATCTATCCCCGGCATTCGGTGCAGACCCCAGGACTTTCACATCAGGGATGCAAGGGCAACACAGGCTGCCTCTGCAAAATTAACCCCATCTCCCACCTCTCCATTTCTAGGGAAATGCTGCTGTCGTCCCCAGGGAGGATCACAGGGGTCCAGGGGAAGTGAAAACTGCAAATAGCCCTGGAATTCCCTTCCAATCCTCCTCTCTTGAGCTCCATGACACACAAAGAACTCAATAGATGTTTCTGTGGTTTTTGGGCACTCAAGGGGAATCAGGCCAGGGCATGTGGTGGCAAAGAAAAGCAGGGAGTTTTTCTAACACACTCATTCAGGGAAAAAATAAAAAGGAAAAACAAAAAAAAGAAGGAAAAAAGGGAAAAATATAAAAAAAAAGAAAAAAGGCATCAACCACAGGAAGGAGAAGACTCAGAAAAGCCAATACACACCTTCCAGAGCAACAGGCAGTGCAGAGCTCACCGCATCAATTCAAAAAGCAGGAGCAGAGCTGGAAGATCTCTCTCCACGCCATGTACATGGAGAATTTACAGAGTGCTTCTCACCAGCCCCTTACACCGAGTGTGTGCTCGGGAGTGGCTCCCTGATGAGCTCTGAGCCCTCGGAGCTGGAGCAGTGTGGCCACCCGAGTGCACTGATGAGGGAGAGGGGAGCCAGCCAGGAGGCTGAGGTTTGGGATCTGGCCAGAACAAGGTCTCCTTCCTCCTGCACATCCAGCAGGACAGCTCTGCACCCACAGACAAACTTTTGGATATGGGCAAATGAGGATCTATGTCAACACCTGAGGCTCTTTCACCAGTATCCCCTATTAGATTTCTAAGTGGGACAAACCCCAAAGCCTTCACTCACTTTGCAGTCCAGTGAACTCTTTCAGCATGAATACAACCATGAAAGGGCTCAAGTATTTCATCCCTACAAACATTAAAGGAGATTATTGCTTTTAAGTTTTAGGGCTGAATCCCTCAAAAGCTATTGCTAATGAAGAAAGAAAGGAGGGAAAAAGTGAAAAAAAAAAAACCTAAAAAAAACAAAGAAAAACAAGTGTCATGGAAAATACTGGAGAGGACCACAGAGTGCAGATTAGAAAAGAATAAAAATAAAAGGAGCAGTGGAGTTACCGGGTAACCATCGCGTCCTGACTGCCCCTGTGGGGGGGAACAAGGGAGATAAGTCAGTCAATGCACCTGGACAAGTTTGACATCACATAGCAGCAGGCAGGACACGGGGCCATCGGCTCTCCAGCCAGCCCTGGCACTAAACTCTGGAGAAACCTCCTGGGGCAACTTTCCTACCAGAGAGATCACACCTACAGTGTATTTCCCCTGCATTGTCATCTCCTGCCCCCTTTGGCTACTTACCACAGGTTTTGCCAACTTGCACCCATCCCTGCTGCCCTGAAACCACAGACATGCATGGCACACGCTGGCTCCTGGCCAAAAAGCTGCCCTGGGATGGAGGTGCCAAGAGGAAGGAAAACACCTCAGTGTTGGGGAGAGGTGATGGAGGCTGAGGCAGGAGCCAGGACAGCAATCGCTGAGCTTCAAACTCCTGTTCCAGCACTTGATCTCGTGAGGGTTTACCCCTCTAAGATCCATTAACTTCCTTGCAGGATGCACTGTCCCAGCTCACATCTAGGCTTTGCTTTGTTTGCAGTGAAGCAGAAAGCACAGCTGGTGCTGCAGAGAACGACCCTACTGAAGCTCCTAGAAGCAGCTGCAGGATCAGCAGAGCAAAACCCAGCACATTCAGGGTATTTCAGCCCATTCAGGGTATTTCAGCCCCCATTCAGGGTATTTCACCTTTCGTGCTTGTCTCGGGGGGTTCCCAGAGGTGTTCACAGCCCAAGGGGCTGCTATCCACACCGTGAGGTGCAGCAAAGCCTGCTGAGAGCCAGACCCACGGCAAGTCCTGGGAAGAGCTGTGCAGATTCAGAGGGCACACAAACAGGCAGCGAGGCCAGTGTCTGGTGCAAATGTCATCTGCTGCCACCAACACAGCTGGTGTCAGCGTGCTGGGGGTGCACAGCTGGAGTCAGGCCCTGCTCATGGCATGGGACAGCTCCAGCAGCCCCTTCACACCAGTCAGGAGGCTCTCCCTTCTCCTAAGCACCCCTGCAGCTGTAATGCCTCCTGCAGCACTCCTGGCTCATCCAGAAACAAAACTAACTTCAGCAACTCCTTATTTAACCAAATACAGCGTGGATAAAGTGTGCAGGGAGGTTTTATGGAGAGCTATGGCAGTGGAGCACACACAGATAAATAGGAAGCACTTGGAACGCCCTGCCCTCGCTTGCTGGTGAGTCCCCCAGCCAGCACACTAGCACATAATGTGTCTGCTAATATCTGTGACTGCAAATGTTTAATTACAGTCTGTGGTAAGTCTATATTTCAATTGTAGAAATTACCCACCCAGCATGTGATTTTAATACTCTCCAAAACAGAGGTTTTATAGCATATCTGAGCAAAATACCCCTTACTCACAGACAGGACAATCAATCATCCATCAGCCACAAATCCTGTACCACAAATTCTAATAATTTTATATGCATAACTAACTTATGACAGCCAAAAGAATAAAATAGTGGAACAACTGCTACTAGGGAACAACAGAATTGGGGATACAGTTAGAGCAGTGTAATGCAGTACATGTAAGAAGTAATCGATTCCTTCTGGGCTAAATCAAGACACAGAAGAAACTAATAAGTGCAGTACTGTTAAAGTAAAATAATATTGTGGTTCTGTGGGTTCTAGGACTTATTTTATATTATGCTTAAAGAAGTCTCTGGCAAAGGCCATTTATGCTAAAAAGCAGGATTAAAAAAACCCCAAAACCAACCAACCAACAAACCCCACCCAACCCAAAAATTAACTAAACCAGGAGTTGTCTTTCAAAGAAGGGCAAGGGAGAGGAAAGGAAAAAAAGGTCTTGTTTGTGTTAAATCTCCCCTGTGCTCCGTTTGCAATTCAACAGTGCCGTGAGAACCAGGAAATGAAACCAACTAGAGACAAAGAAAAATTAATAGTGCACCATATGTTGCCTGTGTTGGATTGCCATAATAAACGTGACCAGACAGCACACGTGAGGCAGCACCACCCTGGCTGCGTGTGGGCTGATAAGAGCCTCTGAGCACAACCAAAGAGCTACACAAACCCATTTCCAGCTAGCCAAAGTACTTCAATCAATGGGGAATGTCACTTATAGGTGCATATGGAGAGTTTTAAATAGGCAGTGTCCCAGTATCCTCTTTATTTGTAATCCCAAATAGTCGTTTTGCTCAACTGCATCTTAAGAATTTACCTTGAACTTGAAATAGTAGCAAAAAATGCAAAGGGCTGAAAACCCTTACCTAAACCCACAGGCAATGCTGCCAGCCCCTGGAGAGCCAAAGCCATGGTGCTGGGACAGTCCCCACTTGCTGTCACCAAAACAGAACTGGAAATTTATTAGCCCAGGGATAGTTGCCAAATTTATTTTCCTTAAAATAAGCCCTTTCAACCCAGTGAGGCTCTCTAGGAAGAGAACAACGTGAAGAAATGCCTGTGCTACTGCAATGACAGACAAGGAAATGTGGCTGCAAACAGCCTGAACCTCTCCTCTTCCTCCTCCTCCTTTGGGGGAAGAAAGGTACAAAACCAGAAGCACCTAATACCCATAATTTTTTTTTAAAACCAACCCTCAGCAACTTGGAGGGCACAAATAAAACAAAGTCTCACTCCAAAACCAGCAGAAGAACAACAGATTTGGAAGTGGTGGCACAGCCAAAGGCACGTTTGAACATTTGAAAGGAGGAGTTGACACATTTTCAACTATTACCCCTTCAAACAACTATTTCCCCATAAATTTTCTGGTTGTATTGGTAGGAATGCTCATTATTCTACCCAAGACTTCAAAGAAATAAGCAAGCAAGCTATGGTTTTCCCTCTAGCCCCCCTTATGAGGCAACCAAACCCATATTAAATGCTGGAAACACAATAGATAAGAAAAGCAAGACAGAGCTTTAGAACCAATAAACCCAGTAACATGTTAAATATTAGTACAGCACTCTTTCTGTTAAATAGAGGCAGACTAAAGAACTCTTTAAAGAGAAAACCCGTTTTTACTGAATATTTTCTGAGTTTAAAATTAGTGGAAGTCCCTTGGGGCAGCAAGTTAAACATTTTAAAATTCCCCCCACAATTTGTCTACAACCACGAAAAAAAAAAATACAGCAGCATCTGGTACTGATTTTGTTTCCAGATACACCTCTACCAAAAAATGCTCTGCTTTTGCAAAGACACTGAAAGGCAGGGGAGGGGGAAGACTTAACTTTGTTGATCCAACAGTAAAATCCACGATACTTACTGCAGGTCCTGGAAAACAAAAGAAAAACAAAGAAGAAAAAGAGTCAATTTCAAAGAAAAATTATAATCTGATAAAGCAACACAAAGCAGGAACCAACACCAGAATGATTTAGGACTCTTCAGTCCAATTCCATGCAATGACCTTCCAGATACGCTCAGCACCATCCACACCCTCCTGTTACAGCCCTGTCTCACCCGTGCTGCTGGTACAGCAGTGCTGACAGGGGTGTGCACCCACTCTTTTCCCATCCTTTTCCCATTTTTTTCTGTTTCTTCTCCCCCCACAAGACACTCGGCATGTCACAGGACAGGGCCCATCTGCGGGGCATCAGGGCCTTGGGCACCACTTGTGGCCAGCAAAAAGGAGACAAAAACGGCCAGAAAAATATGCAAATTCTTAGGAATAAATCTGTATTTTCTCCATGGACCTCATGTATCCTTTGGGTAATACAGGAGTGTGGGAATCCAGAGCTTCCCTCCGGCTGCCCTGGCAGGTCTGGGACCCTGGCAGGGGTCAGGAACCCCCCTGGACAGAGCCCCCAGAGACACTGTCTGTGATCTCTGTCCATGGAAAAGAGTTTGCAATCTTACAGGATGAATTACCAGCTCTGAGTGTTTGGTATCAGTAATATTAAGTGTGACATGGGTGCAAAAGTAAAATGTTAGGATTCTAGATGAGGGGTCCAAAGGGGACAAGATGGAGGAAATTGGGTGTGTTTTGTCTTTTTTCTCCTTCTTCATGCCCTCCATGTTTCACTGTGGTG